TTTGACCTCTGTCATTGCCAACAAAGGATATATAACAAAGTATTGAGATTAACTTTTGATATTGACCAAATACTTATTTACCACCACAATTTGCAAATAAATTCTTTCCAAATCAGCCAATGTGATTGTCTGGATTTTTTTTCTCATTTTGTCTCTCATAGTTGAGGTCTACCTATGATGCCAATTACAGGCCTCTCATCTTTTTAAGTGGGAGAACTTGCACAATTGGTGGCTGACTAAATACTTTTTTGCCCCACTGTATATATGTGCAGAAACATTTTGACCCCTCTGTAACAACTAGCGCAATAGAGACATGGAATCTGCCATCTTGTTAAGGTTTCAGCCATTTTGTTTTTCAAGAACAATCACCTTTCTCCCCTCCCCCCTCCTCTTGAAAATTGAATTTGTAGTTGTAAATTCTAACAAAACTTCAAAAGAGCCGATTCTCTTAAATAAAACACAAATAGAGGCCAGCTCCAGAGCTGTACACTGCTAATTAGGCTTGACAGGATGTCTAGATTGCAAAGATACTTTTCTGTGCCCTATCATAAAACAATAACTCAGTCAGCCATCACACTTGACCTGTTAGGGCTTTAAGAATGCAGAGCATGCCATAAAATGTCCATTCCACATGTCAAAATTTCACATACAGTTCATAGCTTCCAACAGGAACTGGGCTCATTAACATTAGGTATATATTTGAATAGGGCATTTCATGCCAAGCCAAACAAGGTCATACATGACTATGTTTGTACATAGGAAGGGGAAGAAAGCTGTCACGACTGAATTGAGACTGAATTGACGAGGTTGGCCTCACTTGTGTCACTAGCCCTGACCCCGCTGATGTTGGAACAGAGGGAGTCGGAGGACCAGGGGGACCAGAGCGCCAGTGGTTGTTGCTTGCAGCTCTTGCAGATGTTGACTTTGGAGGGCGGATGATCCTCTGATTTGGACACCGTAATAATAGACAGAGCAGGTTCTGTGGATTGCCAGACGTGCAGCAGAGCAAGGTAGGCAGTGAGGACAAGAGACTGGAGCAGAGTCATGGGATAGCCAGGGTCATCAACAGTTGGGCAGCGCGGTACAGAATCAGAAGGAAAAGCCAAAGTCAGGAGCAGAGCCGAAGTCAGGAACCGGTAGCAGGAGAGTAATCGAAGTTAGGTCAGGAACAAGCCAGGTTGGTAACGGAGGAATCGTACAGGAACAAGCAGGACACAGGGGGAGCTGAAGACCAGTCAGCACTGAACCTGAGCAGAGGCACTCCTTAAATGGGCTGTCTGGCGCCAATCTTTGCCATGTGCGATCACGTGTTCCTGCGCGCATGCGCACAACTGGCAATTCTTCTGCTGGAATTGCTATGCGCATGTGCATTCCCGATCGCGATTCTTCTTAATCTGTCAGTTGCTAGAATACCACCTACACATACTGGAAGTTATTAACATTAGTATGAAATTGTAGTTGCGACTCGGTCGTAAACTTGGTGACCTCCTAGAACCCATCCTCAAACTGGATGATTGTTTACTTGTTCTCAGGCGACACCCCTTTAATATCCTAGAAAAGGACTGACAGGTCTGGTGAAGGGAGCTCTCGTTTAACATCAATCAAGAAACATCTTAACGGACTTGAGAGTCAAGGCAACATTTTTGCTCGGACAATTGGATTTTACTAAATGAGGACTTTGCAAGCATTCTTCTTTCTTAACTCCTTTCTGCTATTTTTCTTTTACTTTATTGTTCTCTTTATATCTTTCTAACATCTTTTTCTGTAAATATTTTTATTGCACCATTTTGACCTTTTTAGTAATAAACCCTATTTTGAAAAGTGTTGAAACTGTCTCTAAAGCTTTTAATGTAAACTTAAGAATCCCTGTCTCTTGAAGAGTGCTACTGTATGTAATAATCATCTGAATATCACTGTCTGGGGTGACAGTGTGTGTTACAGACGCTTATGCTAAAATCATTGTGTTATTGCTAGAATTTGTGAGTTTCCTCCTTCTCTGTAAAAAGGCGGTTGTGGCAGTGTGAAGGGTTAATTGTGTAATTAACCTGACCCAGTAACAATCGCTCTCAGGCTGCTGGCACATAGATTGTGGTCCCACGAGCTGGAAAATCTTTGTGCAGGGTGCAGCTGAGAGTGGCATTGTTACACAAGTGGCAACGTGGTGTGAGATTGGCTGGTTCTTTGTCACGAGTTGGTGAGAAGGGCCGGGGTCGGGCGCCGCGTTCCATCACACCCTCAATATTTGTATTACAGTTACATATGCATTCATGTTATACTGTTTCTTGGTTATTTGTGATACAGAGTTCTGACAAAGTGACATTTTTACCCCTCAACATCTGTAAAGGTACATTGACACCAGATGTGGTGGGATTGGGTTTGGTGGCTATTCCAGCACAGTCCCTACTTGCGATCGGGAGCTTTCCGATTATGTGAATACTATGACAGCCAATCATGACGGTCACATGATCATAAACCCCGCCTCCTGGCATCTGAAACCTCTTTAAGGACCGGGAGGTGCCAGCACCAAAGGGTTAAGAAAGGATAAATTCTTCTGTTCCCTCTTCAGCAACTTAGAGAGAACCTTTTTGATGAGGCAGACATAGCTGGGCAAGTGATCTGCTACCAGGTGAGAAGTTCTCCGCTGTCAGAACCAGCATGTAGGCAGGCAGGCCAGAGCCTGATAGCACGCAACTTCTCCAGAAGACCCAGCCACTGTGGGGAGTACTTCCCCCAATTCCCCCCCAAAGTACTCTAGTTCCAGTGGGTGAACCCCTGTGTCTGCAGGCATAGGATCCCCCAAGCTGTTCGCCTTCTTTCCACCGCTAACCTAGACTTTACTGTGAGGCATGCTGTTTGAGGATAATTAAAAGTAGCTGTGTTCTATACTCTTCTAGAGGGATTCACATGGATGGTGCTGACCAGTCAGAATCTGTCTGGTCCGTCCTTGCGGTGCTGGACAGAGAGGAGAGAAAGCAGCAGGGATTTCAAATCCCCAGACCAGTGGAACGGCTTCTGGGAGTCCTGACACCTTAGGATCATGGGAGGTAAGTACAGTGGGGGGTGGTAGGGGAAGGAGTCCAGTGTTTCAGATTTTCTGTAAAGGTGAACTAACACTTTAATAAAAGTGGCAGGAATTACAAAATGAGGGATGTTCCCCCCTTATTTGCAACTAGAACATGTGTCCTCATTCCCCTTTTACAATACTTCAGTTCTAAGGACAACTGTAATAGTTTTGAGTTCCCTTTACATTCTGCCCCAGTGACAAGAGTCACCTGGACAAATTGGGTGAATCTCCCAAGGCATGACAATTTCTTCAACACTCCCTCCAAAACTAAAAAAAAAAAAAATAGTTGGGCTTTATGTACTTACAAGTATAAGTTCACCTTTTCAGAAAAAATTAAAAGGTGAACTAATACCATACTCCCTCCCCACTCCCTCAGTTCCCGCTGTTCTTACTTCTGTGGGTGATGAGCTGTCAGTGCCCATACAGCCAGTGTAGTGGTTCGGGGACTTAGAAATCCCAGCTTCTTACCCTCTTCTATCTGCGGGATTTCCGGGATGGACCAGATCAATTCCAGTTGATCAGTGTTGGCACGTAACCAATTTGACCAATCAGAAGCGCTCTGATACATCCTGAAATCTGTATGAAAGGAACTGTAGGGGTTTCAGATCCCCAGACTGCTACACTGGCTGCATGGGCACTGTTAGTTCATTACCCATGGAGGTAAGTACTGCAGGGAGTGGGGAGGATGTACAGCATTAGTTCACCTTTTTAATTTTTTTTTTTTTTTCTAAAAAAGTGAACCAACCTTTTTAGGCACAGCAATGTTGCATCCCAGCCCACAATCATCTAGATTTACAGCCGTGCTGAAAGAAGAACAGAGAACAAATATGTAACTTTCTGCTGGTATGTCCAGAATGCAGGTCAGGATGGTCCACAGTGCCAGACAATAGCAGGCAGCTAGTATTGCTGTACCCTAGACCACACTGGCTAAGTACAAATCACAGCTGGAGCAATCAAAAACCTGAAAAGAAGTAATCAGAAAGTATAAAAGGAGCTGCTGAGTTCAACATTTTAAATATAGAGTGGCCTTTGTGTTGTGATGACAATTTCTTGTTGCCTGCCATTTTTTTTTTGGGATAGTTTATGATAGAAAAATAAATCCAACGCTGCTGAGTGCACTTGTACATAATCAGTCTACATCTCCTACTGTGTGTTATTTTAATGGGAGTGGCATCACTAGATTGTAGTTTCTGAAACACAGACACCAGAGCAGGAAGCCTATTTTGTAAGGAGCAGATAAAGCTGAAGGTGGAGAGATTGTTGCTACCATAAGCATCAGTGTTAAGACCAACAAAAGCACAGAACAGCACAGCGTGCATCCTCATTTGATTGGGAGGTCTGTTGGTTATAGAGACCCATTATGCAGTGACCTGAAGAAGTGCAGAGCAGCTGTTAGCAGGAGATGGTCTTCTTCACACCAGTTACATGAAGCCAAGTACTATTTGACTGGTGAGTGCATCCTCTTTTTTTACACATAGTCCCACTTTCTTCAACTGAAAATAATGTGCTCACTTGGAATCAAGCTCAACATTTTTTTACAGTTTCAGTGCTCTTGAAATAATCTTTGTGACAAACCTGGATTCTCCCTATGGACAACTGGTCTTTTGTTCCCATTCTAAGATGCTTTTGGATCACAGGTTGTCACCCAGTACTTGGAATATTGAAGATTAATGAAAATTGCATTGTAGAGCTTTTTCCATTACCAACAAAATAAGTTTTTGAGTTGAAGTCCACCAGGAAAGACACCCCATAAAATGTTTTTTGATTGATTTTCTGGATGAATGAGCACTAAATAATGAAGAATATTTCTGTATATGACGATGAAAGCTCACCAGACTTCTATGACAGTAATCTCTTTCCTCCATGTACAGAGACTATATGTTCCATTTTTTCCATCAAAATTCTCATCCCTACTACAACTGTCTGCCTTGTTATAATGGTCGCTGGAATCATAGGGAATACCATTACAATTCTTATAATCAAAAAATACAAAGAAATGAAGACAACCACAAATTTCTACTTATCCAGCATGGCTGTGTCAGATATGATCATTTTATTGTGCTTGCCAGTTGACTTGTACCGTCTTTGGAGGTCTAAGCCTTGGATCTTTGGGATTTTTCTTTGTAAATCTTTGAGCTTGATTAGTGAAGCTTGTACCTATTCCACCATTCTTCATATCACAGCACTGAGCATTGAAAGATATTTAGCTATCTGCTTTCCTCTGAAAGCCAAAGTCTTTATTACCAAGAGGAGGGTAAAGATTGTGATTGTATTTTTGTGGGTTGTAGCACTCCTGTCTGCTTCTCCACTTTATAACATGTTTGATTATATAGAAGTATTTAATGACACTGGACCCTTCAACACCAGCTGGCAGTGCCGATACACAGAGGACGCTTTTGCATCTGGTCACCTTAAGATCATGATGTGGGTGACCACAGTGTACTTTTTCTTCCCCATGTTCTGCCTGACTGTTCTCTATGGCTTTATTGGTAAAACGCTGTGGAAAAGCAGAAATTCCATTAGAGGTCCTAATGCTGCAAATCGGGAAAGAAGTCACCGACAAACAGTTAAGATTCTAGGTAAGTGTCCAACCTACTCCCCTTCTAGATATTGGCATATTTTAGTGACACCAACAAATCTTTATAGATTACCTAGTTCCCTGGTGCCCAACCCATGGCCCTTTGATACTTGTGTTGTCCCTGACTCCCAGCTATCAGTAATAGGAGTTGAAGCATTAATTTGTAAAAGAACCTTGATGACAGTGATCCCTAGCTGTCTCATATAATATGTCCCCAGACTTAGACTGTCTGCTCCAACATGTCTACAGTCTCCTGCCACTCTTCTTGGTCCCCAAGGAATGCCCTTAATTTATGGGGATTATCTCTCACTTCCTGTTTTGGGTATGTGATAGGACATGAAGGCAAATCTCCCCAAAGGGATACAGATGGCAAAAAAAAAACTGACAAGGGTTTTAACCCTCCCTTACTCCATCCAAAATGGCAAAAAGGTTTTGCCTATAGTTCTACTTTAATCTCCATAAAAAGCAAGCCTAATATAAAGTGCATACAGTATAACCATGCAATCCCCAAATCCTTCTAATATTCTAATTAAATAGATAACTAAATGTGTAAAAAACAATTATGTTAAGCACCAAAGTGATTTACCTTTTAAAATGTCTATACAATTAATATATATACATCGATAAAGTGCAGCCAGGTTTTCAAATTGTGCTAAAGTGTCAAAATAATTCTTCTAAAACAATTATATAAACAGTTAATCTATATACACCACTAAAGTGTACCTTTGTAAAAAGTGTCCTATAAAGTGCAAACAAGACCATCAATTCATCCATTTTCAGCGCAGTGTTCAATGTGTATAATAAATCTTCCAATTCCAAACACTTCTATCACCTTGCCTCATCTATTTCCACCTGAAATGTACCCAGATAGGACATGTTGCATTTACTGAAATGCAAAACAAGCACAGGATGACACCCATAGAAATGAAAAATGTTTGTAATTTTACATGTAAGAAACCCCTAAACTGTGTGTGCTAATTATCCTTTGTTGCTCATTAGCAGAAATCAATTCTGTTTCTCATAGTAACCAATCAGATATTAGACGTACATTTCAAGTATTATTAAACCCAAAAGCAAACATCTATTATATTGTGGCTTAGCAACTCTGCGATGTGGTGGCTACATTAGTTTTCTTTTTTAGGTTTTCTTTCCTTTCTTTTTACCTTTTTGATCCATCCAGTAAATCTGTTATTTTTCAACAAACCAAGCTGCCCTGCAGATGAAGCAGTTAGAAGGTTGAGACACATGATGATATACCACTGACTGGGGTGCTTACCATGGTCAGATTTGATTTTTTTTTTATGTAAAACCTTTATCCCAAAAGGGAAAAACAAGCAGCTGTAACTGCTAATAAAATGATAGCTGGAGCTTGGCTTCAGTTTGTTAGTGTATCTAAATCTGCAAGTAAATCTAACACTCTCCTCCCCACAGGCTGTACACAGGAGTCTCTGTTGCTCCTTCATCCAGAGTGGGAGCACTCCAATACAAGAGGTGTTACTGGCCAGACCACCAGGGTGAAAACAGAGGGGAAAGGCCTAAAAAAAACCCAAAGCTAATGCAGTCACCACATCTAATGATTGATAAGCTGCAATATATAAATGTTTTGGGTTTAATACTGTTTTATGTAGTACTATGAATATGACAACTCTGAAGTTTCATTCGATGAACCTGATTGCGGTGTCTTTTTTCTTCCCTGTTCGTCTTTAAGCGGTGGTCGTGCTGGCTTTTGTCATCTGTTGGCTGCCTTTTCACATTGGGAGGCTTATCTTTGTGCACACCACTAACATGGAGGTGATGAGAATTTCCCAGTACTTCAATATTGTCGCCATGCTACTCTTCTACTTGAATGCCTCCATCAACCCCATCCTGTACAATCTTATCTCCAAGAAATACAGGACTGCGGCTTACAGGCTTCTCCGACTGGCCAGGCCTGATGAGCGGGCTTACAATGTCATCAAGGATGAAACTGGAGGTCACACAGAGATCAGCACGTTTACTCACAATGAGTATAGTACCCAAATCTGATGGAGATGGTAACACTGCATGATTGTAAGGAGGGACATTACTGTACAAGGTCTCTCCTCTATCTCTAAAATTCAGGGTAAAATGAAATGCCATGTATTGTGTTGTAAATATTTCTGGTTCCATAAGACGACGTTAAAGTAGATGTAAACCCTAAATAAAGGGACATTTAGTTTGCTAAATTACTGTGCATCATAAACAATGCCATTGCGAAATAAAATATTGTTTTCACCTTGTAGCATGTCTGCTAATCTCCAATGGCCTGTTTGCGGCCACTTCCTGTCTACACTCCAGCAATGGCTGCATGGCATTTCACAGGATGGGTTTCCTGATGGTGACAACAGTGGACCGTGCCTGGGTAATGTGTGCTGAAATGGTCACTTGTAGTCTCCCTCAGGAGCCCACGTAACAACACAGAAGGACAAGTAGGAGGCAGGGACAGAGTATTGTCACCCAGTAACAGGAAGTACCTCAACAAGGAACTTCATTGCAAAATCACCAGGAATGATTTTAAGGGAAGCTGACGTTTTCAAGCGACTTTTTAATTCACATTGAGATTTTATTTATTGGGTTTACATATACTTTAAATGTTCTAAACATGACACGTGTGTTTACATAGTCGTTGATAGGAGTAGTATTTTTAGTTATTAAAATATAAGTAAAGGGACTAAACATAAGTGAAACATAGCTTACAGTGGATCAAAGTGACATTGCTTACAGTGTATCTAATTCCAAAAACAAAAGTAGTTTACCAATCCTTAGATGTGTTGGATGCATTAGTTTTCTTTTTTAGGCTTTTTTCCCTCCTGTCGTAGGATGTCTTCACTCTGGATGGAGGAGCAATGAAGCCACTCTTGGACAGCAGCATAGTTAACCTGCAGAGATTTGTCATTTTCATTAGCCTGGCTGAGATGGTATCACTCCCCCAACATGCGCAGGAGTACATTCATCTGGGCATATGCAGAAATTGCTGTGCGTGTGAAGCTCAGTGTGCATTACGAACAGGCAGGTAAGAATACTTTAATGCAGAAGAGACATAGTATATCTTTTCTGTATATAAAAGCCTGCCTGTCCATACAGCTGCTGCATCCCAATACACCTAAATGGGACTGGCTGCACTTGGATGCCAAGAACACCTATGCATCCCGTGTGGGTGTAGATGCCTTTTGCATGGATGTACAGATTGGTATGCCCATGTGAATGAGGCCTTGCTGGGCAGCTTGATCTGTTAAAAGCATATGAAAAATAGTGGACTTACTGGCTAGATCACCAGGTGACAACAGCCTTAAAGAAAACTAAAGCAGCCACAATATTTAACGATTGGATTTGCTTTTGGGTTTAGATAGTCTTCTAAGCATAAAAAGAGATAAAAACAAACAATATCCACCTACTAAATATGTAACTTACTACATGACCAAAAAAGCATAATAACTGAGTCTACATGCCATTGTTTTGTTTGATTAGCATATTCCCACATCTCCTTGCTGCACATTTCCTGATGAAATTGGTGGATAGAATATGGACTCCAAGGGCTAGCGGCTTAGACATTTGGCTTTCCATAAAAAAAATGTAAAAAGAACATTTGAAAAATGTTCTATTGCTACTTTAAGATTCAATTGTTGTGTTGTAATTATTGCAAGCGTGTGATTAGTTACATCCAAGCTTTTGTGTGTTTTGAAGAATATTCTGTATGACGATCAGTCTCAGGAATTGGGCACAGTCACATCTCAGTGTGACTTAGACATTTGGCTTTCCATAAAAAAATTTAAAAAAGAACATTTGAAAAATTTTCTATTGCTACTTTAAGATTCAATTGTTTTGTAATTATAGCAAGCATGTGATTAGTTACATCCAAGCTTTTGTGTGTTTGAAGAATATTCTATATGAAGATCAGTCTCAGGAATTGGGCACAGTCACATCTCAGTGCGGGACTGTGCGCTTTCTGTGCTGATTCTTCTAGTGCCCTACAGTGTACCTAGTTTTATGGGTTTCATTCATGGCCTGTTCACACCATCCATTTGTGGTAACACTCATGTTACCGCAATGCTTATTAATGCATGTTCTAACCACATTAAACAAACAAGAACTGTAAAAGGAGATAACAAGACGCCACAATAATTTACTTCTTTAAAATACAAAAATATTTAGAAATATAAAGAGTATTAAAAATCAAAACCCATACCATAATAAACAAGGTTATTTTTTTTAATTGTGTGGGTATTGGATGTGATTTTTTGCTATACTTCTTTTTATATACTTTTTTTATATCTAAATAAACAATTTTTATATGTTAAAGAGGAAAATTATGGTGGCGCCTTGTTATCACCATTTCCAGGCTTTGTTTAAATGTTCATTTCAGATGAAGGGTTCACTTTAATGTTTGGTTTAAGTTAAACACTTAGGGCATTGTTACACTGTTGATAGTAATAATTTCTGATGCCAAGAACAGCACTGATAACGAATATACCATTATAAATGTTCATATTGTTATATTACTAATATTAATATCATAATACTGAATTTGTATAACACCAACAGTTGTCACAATATAATTCAAGACAAGAGGGTTAGGAGGGCCCTGCTCCTAAGAACTTACAATCTAAGAGATATGTGCTAGTAATTCTTAGCAGTCCTCTAGGACAGAACTTGGCAAGCTTAGTCACACTAGTGGAGTAAAGAGTATTGGTAACTATTAGAAAACACACATCAGTGTTACAACACCAAGAGGGAGATTGACTAAAACTAGAGCACTCAGAATCTGGTGCGGCTGTGCAGAGTAACCAATCAGCTTCTTACTTCATCTTGTTCAGTTAAGCTTTAACAATAAAAGCTGGAAGCTGATTGGTTTCTGTGAAGAACTGCAGCAGATTTTGGCTCATGCAGTTTTAGTAAATAACCCCCCAAATGTTGGCAAGAAGGGGTGGTGACTAAGCGACATAATTATACAGCAGTAAATTTAAACAAATGTTCACTGTAGATGAATCTTCCTAGTTCATGTGTTTTTAAATGGACGTGATTCATCTGCAGTGAATGTTTAGTACAACGCCATCCTAAAGGTGGGAATAAACAATTAGAATATTGGCCGATCGGTCATCCGACGACTGAGAGGCGTTCGTTTGTTGGTCGAAATCTTGGCCCACATTAACCAATCTAAAAAAAAAAATCGTTCGTGGGGCAATACGTAGTGTTGACTTCTTCTATACAAGTGGAAGTGATGCAGTGTGCGTGTGACCTTGTAGCCACGCCCAGAACGAGCGATATACACAACAATTACCAGCAATGAGTATAATATAGTTTATTACATTACCTATGTACATAAGTAGTGATACATAAAATATAATATGCATCATTCTGGTTTCATTATCTCATTGGGCCAATCTACTTTTAACATTTTGGATTTTTCGTTCGTGTTTACGAAGATTCCTTGGACATAAACATCCGGGTCATCTTCTGTTTCCGCTCATGTGTGATAGCGCTTGATAGTTTTTTTTTTCATACGACCGTCATACCACCTCATAGAAAATCGGTCGTTCGTATGCGAAACGACAACATTTTTCACTGTTGTTCAACTGGATTTTTTCGTTCACAATATCAGTATCGGTTCAAACATCCTGCTCATCAACGAAGAGAAAATCGTTCGATCAGTGGTTCTGCAAATTTTTTCTGACAATTTTCTTATCATGTGTATGGGGTATGTAGTCTTCTTTGGTCTTTCAAGTTTTTCTTTTTTTTCTGAAAGCAAAGAAAAATATGTGGATTAATGGGTATGGTTAATGAAAAGTGTAACAATTGGAAACCACAACCACAAAACAAGTACAAATTTTTTTGGTAATTAATTTAGCATTCTGATTGGTTGCTTTGGGCAGTGGCTCTTCGATTGTTTTATACATTAGCCCATTTTTTAAATTAAAGTAACAGTGGTGTTAATATTTTTATTTGTAATTATAATTCATGTGTAATATTGTCAGTATTTAATACATTAATGTGTCTTTGTGTATAGTACCAACCAAGAGGGCTAAAAAAAATCTTATGTGTCAATGTAATATAGTGGTCTTGTCTTTCAGTGTTAAAGTAATTTGATGATATTAGACAAAAGAGACATATAGAATATGTAATATTTAGTACTGTAATAGTCTGGTAATATGCAACTTGTTCAGTATGTCAGTGGTAATCATTCTAGTCAAAGTCTATAGGGGTAATTAGTGTGTGAGTGATATTTATAGATAAATATCTGTGCACCAAATTCCAAAGAAGTGCTTTATGCCATGGCATACCAGGAGGTGACTGTTATTTAAACATCTAAATGCTGGGGTTTAAAAGCAGAATTGGCTTCTTCAGTGTTGCACATAGTCATTATACTGTAGCTTGCATGCTTACTGTATCATCATCCAGATCGGGGATTCGTAATTTTAGAGTATTGATACCCCCCTGGGAGTTTGAAAACCAAATGATGGGGTATGGGAATGGATATCTGAATAAATAAAAAAAAACAAAAGAGGTTCTCTGTAATATTAAACCAGCAGTTTCCAAACAGCGGCCCTTTGCTTGCATTTATCTGGGCCCTGGGGCACTACTCCTCCCACTGACCTTAACAATGGGGCATAATTCCTCCCACTGACACCAATGATGGGGCCCTATCCTTCCCACTGACACCAATGATGGGGCCCTATCCCTCCCACTGACACCAATGATGGGGCCCTTTCCCTCCCACTGACACCAATGATGGGGTCCTATCCCTCCCACTGATCCCAATTATAGGACACTAATCCTCTCATTGACACAAACAATGGGATACTATTCCTCTCATAAACACCAACTATTGGGCACTACTCCTCTCACTGATACCAATTATAGAACACTATTCTTCCCATTGACACCGATGGGACACTATTCCTCTCACAGACACCAATGATGGGACATTATTCCTCTCACGGACACCAATGATGAGACACTATTCATCTCACTGATACCAATGATGGGGCACTATTCCGCTCACTGATACC